ACAATAGACCGTTGTATGTACAGGTATATTATGTGCAAATTGAAACATAATATCCAGTTAATTTTGATGAGACAATCTGGTTGCAAATTGTGAAGTTGTATCAGATAGTAATATCATGATACATGTACATGATTACACAATTACTTTATTGCTAGTGATTTACACTGAAACAGCAAAACATTTAATTTATATGGTGTATAGTTTTTAGAAATATATTTGTAAAAAAAAAAAAAAGTCTAGACCTGAATGAAATACAAATAACACCTTAAAATGGTTTTGAATTTAGCATTTTATTTTTAATATGTTCAATTGAAGCAATCATCATTTACACTCATATTGTTTGAAAACTGTATTACTGACTTTCTTCTGTCTTAGTCACTCCTCTTTCTTCCGAACACAAAAGAAAATATTTTGAAGAATGTTGGTATTTATCGTTGGTATTTGGTTACCAACATTCTTCAAAATATTTTCCTCTGACCTTCGTGCCAAATCCGACATTTCTCAGAATATCTTGTATGCTGATAAATGAGTAAATGACAGAATTTACGACATTTTACTAAATTCAAAATAATTGTTCGAGATTATGTTGTAAATTCAAAATAATTGTTATGATGTGTTCATTCAAATGGTAATGCATTTGGGTCTAGACCTTCTTTAAACATATTTCTCACAATATTTCTCAGCATAGAACGACATGATGGTGAGTAAATGATGACAGAATGCACTTTTCGGATGAACAATCTCTTCAAATTCAAGTGTTTCCCGTGATTTTACAGAATATCGCTCCCTGTAAATGTGCCTTTTTTAATACACAGGGTTTGGTTACACAAAAGGTACAGAAAGCACATAGCCTCTATTCTCTGTTTAAATAAAGAGGGGTAAAAATCATAGATTGTGTGGGGAGAGAGGGAGCGTGTGGAGATGCTCTGTGTGAAAGTTCCCGGATGAAGGTGTAACGCCATCTTTACTCCACCATTCAAGTCGCAGCTGTTGCTCGCGTAGGCCTGCCGGTGAACTCACACTCCTCCTTTACTCCCTATCTCTCACAAAACACGCTCGCCGCGCGCTGTCCAACATGGGTGACCGGGAGGATTTGGTGTACCAAGCCAAACTCGCCGAGCAGGCGGAGAGATATGATGGTAAGAGGCACTGAGAGGTAACGGGAACGTTGTTTTTTTTTTT